ATTCCTAAGATTCGAATCTTCAACAAGGTTAAACTTTATAAGCTTCATTTTTATTTTTCTAACTGTTTTACATATTGGAAGCATATATTACATCTTTGCGATGAATTTAGCTTGCCCAAAAGTTTTTGTTTTGTATGTTTTCTTACTCGTGTAAACATGTAGTCATTAAACCCTTGCGATTCATGATTGTTACGTGTTCTTGAAGGTAAGTCTGTTATGTTCATGATTGTATACAAAATTGTTGTAATTGTGACACTGTTTTCTTTTATTTAGGTTACAAAAAAGAAGACAGTCTCCAACCAAAGAAAAATAGGGGATCAAAAGCAAAAATATTAAAAGATGATTAAAAACATGTATGTTTATAAAAAGAGTAAGATTTTTCAAAGATCAATGTCCACATATAAAGAGATCACGAGGGTTTTTACCCTCTCTCTCTGTATATAGTCTTTGAAACGGAGCCAGTAAAAGAGTTACAACGTGATGTTTGGCTCTTCTTATTCTCTCTCTCTTCTTTATCCTTCATTATTTGCTTTGTTGTATTATTAACAATGTCCTTGATTTATTATTTTAACTGTTTCACAGTTTTTATCTCATGTACGTTCTTTTAAAAGATTTATAAAAAGACTACAAAGAGACACGAGCCGTACAAAGAGAAATTTTTATTTGTAATAAAAGGAATTCTAATTAAATTGCAAGAGTGATGCCAATGCATTACGATCAAAGAAAAGTTTTGAAAGAGAGATGCTAATGCATACAGTTGTTAGCTATTAGGACCATAAGAGCTAATAGGGGTAAATGCACGACGAGTCGAATACCACCAATGGAAATCGAGACAAGAATTGAGAGATACAGCTAGAAATTACATCGGGGACACGGGTTTGCTTGGTTTTATGTTGAAGTCTCTTGGGAACCAAGTGGTTTGGATATTATTTCGTCTAACGCAGCCTAAATCCGGTGAAGAAGTTGCTAGAGTATATTGATGAAAGACATGGTTCACTTCTACAAACAAAAATCCAATGAGGAACTCGACAACAACGAACGGACACAATAAGATCACAAGAGGTGAATTGATGAAAGACGGTTCACTTCTACAAACACATTCTGATGGACTGCAAGTGTTAGGCCCCACAGGGATATTGAACCAAATTGGCATGGCTTCAAGAGCAATCCTCGATTCTAAATACGTCATGAAATAGTATCACTACATTAGAGTTATATCGGTGACAATATTTCACTTAGATCGAGGGGACAAATTAGGAATATTTTGCACCATCGGCGAAAATGTCATCATAACAACGAGATAGTTAAAGATTCCTCCACAAGAATGCATAGTGGTCAACAAAGGTGCAACGTTGAGTGAAGTGTATGGAGAGGCAGAGAATGTTTAGAGAAATCTATTGGGAACTTAGAGATGGTATATGATTTATTTGACATGAAACTCAAAAATGTAATTTATGAATCTAAGA